TTCCTGCTTTAAATATGCAGTTCTCACCAGCTACCAGAACGTTAACAAAATGAGATTTAGGTGGTGTTTTTTTTTTATTTATGAAAATTTGGCCTTTAAATGATTTTTATTCTTTAGAGCCCCAAGGAAATAAAAAATGGCAACAGAAGCACAGGCTTGAGCCTTAAGTAGAAGAGAAGGTAGCATCTGAAGCATTTTGGCAGTCTAATCACAGAGATCACATGAGCTGCCACTAAGCCACCTGGTCATGACAAATACAGAAATTTCTAGCTGATGCTGGACATTTTAGGAGCAGAAGGAAGTATCATCCAAGGAAAACTATACAACATTTTAGTTGTTTTTTGGTGGAAGGGTTTGTGTTGAAAGCAAAAGCAAGAATCTTTCAAATACTTAATGTGCCTTACCTTTCAGGTAAGCCTGCATGTAAGTGCTTGTGGAGCTGGGGATTAGTACGTTTTTTTCCCCCAGAAGTAGAAAAACATGGGAACCACCACACTGTACTTGGCTCCACATGGCCTACCTGTCTCTAAGGCAATGACCAGCTACAAATACTTTGGAGGAAGGTGCACAAACACAACACTACCAAGATGGGGAATAAGCAGCTTCCCACTGAGGTCTCAACCTGGTCTCTAGTAGTTATTATTTATGTTACAGTAGCTCCTAGGAGACCTCAGCAGGGACTTAATCCAATCGGGGAAGGTATTGTGCAAAACAAAACTAAGAAAGTTGCTGCTCCAAAATGCTTACTTTAAGTCTTGCAGTACAAATAATGAATTGTAACAAGTCTTGACAATCCAGTCCCTTTGTAAATCTTGTTCTTCTCTCCATCTTACCCAACAGCTTCCTTGTAACAAATGCCACAATTTAAATAACGTGCGAAACACCTCTTCATACCAGTTTTAAATCTCCCTCTTCAATTTCAGCGCATTTCCCTTTATTCTCAAATCCAGACAGGGAGAAAGAAGCGCAGACTGCCCTTGTCTCAACCATTCATTATATTCTATACAGGCCGTCCACGAACTTACAGCACCACTGGATCCTGAAAACCGCGTCTTAAGTCGAAATGTTCCAACTCGGAACCGATTTTCCCATAGGAAACAATGTTGTAATTGGGGGATGGTACCCTCTTTTTCACCAAAAATAACTCAGAATCTTGTACTCAATCAATTACACGAGTAATATAGCAACAGTAAAAGGCAATCAAGACTCGTAGTAGAGATGATCTCTTTTATTAGACCAACAAGGTTTTTGCAAAAAATGGAAAAGAATTTTTTTGCAAAAATCTTGTTGGCCAAATAAACGAGATCACCTCGACTACGAGTCGCGACTGCCTTTTCCTCTAGACCAATACGGCTACAACCTGGATACACAGCTGCATTCGTATCATAAATAGCAATCATAAGGATTTGGAAGGACTTCTTTGAGGCGACTCGGCCGGACCTTTCCAGTCTCCTCGCGAGTCTCGGCCGCAGGTTTTCCTGGAGTCTCGCCTGCTTTCTTCAAAGCACCCAAGGACGTTCCGACAGACGCTCTCCAGGCAGACGGGCGACGCCGGCGCGTCGGATCCAGCGTCGACGAGTCGAAACCGACATCGCCAAGTCGAAACGGGGGGTGCCGGTTGATAACCATCGTCTGCGCCGTTCGTTGCCACGTCCGCCTGCATCCGAGTCGAGTCCGGCTTATTCGTCTCCCATTCCCAGTACGCCAGCCTGACCTTTCCCTCCCCACAGGCCGCTAACGCCTGACGGGCTCCCCCCTGCAGCCCGGGGGGCACCGCAACCTGACCGCCGTCTGCACTGAAACCAGCGCTGTGGGGGCAGGAAGGAATTTTTATACCCCTGGTTTGACTGGGAATTTTTTTGGGGGGGGGAGGGGGGGGGGAAGAGCCTGCCTTCCTGTGCAGCAGCTGGCCTCTCTCTACTCCTACCTCGGCTCCTCCGCTCCCGCAATGGCAGCGCCCGCGCCGCCCCCCCCTCCCAGGCGCGCGCAGCGCCGGAAGCAGGAAGCCAACTCCTTCGGAGCGGCGGATGAGGGGCAGTGCCAGAAGCTCTCAAGCCGGAAGCAGGAAGTCGGTTTCTTCCGGGGCGGGGCCACCACCGGAAGCCAGAGGCCCGGAAGCCGGAAGCTGGGTTGCTTTGGGGCGGGGCCACCGGCGGCGGGTGAGGGCAAGGGGTGCAAGGTCTCCTACCAGGCCGGGGCCAGCCCTGGGTTTCCCACAGGACCCTGGAGGGCCTCCCTGCTGCTGAGCTGTCTCCCCCAGCCCTTGGCCACTCTCTGGTTTCCTCACGGCCCAAAGAAACCCAGCGCCAGCGAAGAGGCATTTCCCGGGCATCCTCTGCTGAACTACCCGGTGCCCCGCTGCAGGGTGGTCCTGAAACGCCCCTCCGTCCCGCCGCTGACCCTTGGGGTCGTGCTGGAAAATCTGTGCGGAAGTTTGTCATTTAAAAAAAAAAAAATCTGGGTCTTCAGGGATATTAAATTCTCATTCGCAGCCCAACCGCGACCTTCCCGGCGTGGACCGCGGCTCTGTTAATTTTTTTAGATGGCCCTTGCAAAATATCGTTCCGCGGCAGGCGTCGGTGTCGCCGTCCTGGGCTTGTTTTCGGACTCATTGGTTTTCTCCTTCCTGATTTTTTTTAAGCAGCGTCACGAAGGAGAGCCGCGGGATGCGACAGCCGGTCCCTGAGCGCCGCGACACGGGAGCTGCTTGTTATGGCTGAGGTAGAGCAATGAAGCTAAGCGGTGTGTTGCGCGTACAGCGTAGTTTCTTATAGTTTTGTCGTTTCTAGGGTCAGACGGGACCTGAACAGATCATCAAGCCCGACCCCCTGCCCCGGGCAGGAACGAGTGCTGGGATCGTAGTACCTCAGCCAGATAACTATCCAAACTCCTCTTGAAAACCCCCAAGCAGATTAAGTGAAGGTTACCTACCGGATGCTTTGTATTAAAAAAACATTTCTAATGTTGGTGGCCCGCTGTTCGACATGCAATAATTATTTTGCAAACAAATGAACACCAACAAAAAAAAAAGAAATCTTCAAAGAAGCCAGACTCTGCCACGCACACCAGATCACGGTCCCCTACTAGTTGCTCTGCCTTCTCCCAAAAAAGGGTATTCATAGATTTCATTGATTTGAGAGTCGGAAGGGACCTATTAGATCATCGAGTCTGACCCGAATTGAATTACCAACTGCTATGTTTGTAATATAAAAAGGCTAACCATTCTCCAGCATAAATGTCCTCTTTATCCACTACGCTCATTCAAATCCTTGATGGGGATCGTGACTTTCAAAAGCATTTGCAATGTCTAATGACTTTACTTTTGAAAGATCAGACCCTGTATCACTATGTGTAACTGCAAGAAATAAGTACAGGTCATGTGCATCTTACGCGGGGGTTATGTTAAAGTCGGCGCGTAAGGCGAAAATCACGTATAGTGAAATCGCATATTACCATGCCAGCGGTGACTGCCTCTGCCTCCAAAACCTCCCACCGCCGCCGTGGAGCCGTGCTTAGAGCTGTGTGGCCGGCGGCGGCAGCGTGGCGTGGGGATGGCTGCGTGCCGCCCGGGCACCACCACGCTGCTGCTGCCACCCAGCGGCCGGCCACAGCTCCGGGCACACATGCAAACTCAAGCCCTGCTCCCCTCCACCCCGCGTATAGTTGAATTCACGCAAGTTAAATGCGTGTATGATGCGACTGACCTGTATGGTGTTTTGATGCATTAGAATTGAATGTAGGTAATCGTTGATGGTAGGAAAGAAGAGGAAAAAACGTAGTACATTAGTACATTGATAGAAATACTCTTCCCCTCTTGCTTTTGTTACGAGGTTACTCATATTTTCAATATTTATTATTAAATTTAAAGTGCCAGACTTAAACCTATTTTGAATGCTAGTTCTGGAAAGATATTCAGAAATAGGGGCAAAAGTTCAGCTCTAAATCCATAGTTAGGTATCTAATAGGATGGCCTGATTTTTCTAAAGTGTTGAGCAACCATCAATACCCACTCTCACCATCTTAGTTTTGGCCCTTTTATCAAGCGTTCTCTGCAGATTAAATTGTGTCAGTTTAAAAATTCTAGTGCAGCTCAGTGTAATTACGGTGGTGTCTATAAACAGTGGGATTTATCATGCAGTTCACATCAGGTGTTTTGGTCTGAATTTTTATGTGATTAGAAATAGTGACAATTTCCTTTTTGTCTGACTTGATACCTGCAAGGGACCTGATTTTCTGAAAGTCAGGCCTCTTCTAAGGTTTTTCAAGTCAAGCACCGAGAAATTGAGCACCACCAGATCATTAAACCTAGAAAATGTAGGCCTTGGCTTTGGAAAGGATGAAGAATTTGACTAGTTGACAGACAGCATCTCTGTGAAAGAGAACAAGTAGCTTTTATATTTTTCATATCCAAAAGAAGCTGAAACTGCTGTTTTTTAATTGAACTGTCAGTGATTCATTGATAGGACCAATTTTCCTTTTGTTCTCAGATCCCAACAAGTTGTGCTTTATCAAGCAATACTCCAGCAGGCCACAAGCTTGTGACTTCCCATCCAGCACAGAAGACTGTTGAATTAGGAAGCTGGAATATGACAGGGTGCCAGGTAGGGGTGTCTTTAGAAGTTAGATCATGTCAGTTTTGCAAAGCTTTTTGTTTGTTTGTTGTGGCACCTTGGCATGCCTTGAGATCCTTTCAAGGGTGCCTTGGGATGCTGTGCACTGTTAGCGTTGTTAGGTATGCAAACATGATTCATATGAGATTAAACTTAGAGTTTTCAAATAGGAATCCACAGTGTTAAAAACACTGTGACCTATTTTGGTTATTCTGAGTTTTTTGCAACAAAAGGATTTTTCTATTATATTTCTATTGTCAAAAATGAGTGAAAACTAAGAGTATTTTCCAGGCATTTTCCAAGGGGTGCCCTATGTCTAAAGGTGAGAACCAATAACTTAGTGTTTCTTGGGGATCATAGGTCAACAATAACTGAGGGCTTTTTAAACAGCCAGGAGATTTTTAAGGTTTTGGCTTCCTTCTGTAAGTTTGGCTTCTTGTTATTGTGTTGTTTTCTGGTATTGGATGTATAGCACTGTGTACTCAATTAGAAGATATAATAGAATTACGGTGTACCATAAGGTAATACTCAGAACTCAGGCCATTGCTCTTTTCTCTCTCCTCCCAACTCTAGCAGGAAAAAGCAGAATGGGAAAACTTAAACAAATTATTAATGCGTCATGGCTTAAAACCTGTGTCTGTTGCTACCCCACGAAACAGCAAAAATCTAACAGGTAATGCAGTGCCATTCTATACAAGCTCTTATTATTAAAAAAGATTAACTGCATTCATAAATCATCTTTACAAGCAGTGTCTGGAGGTGCATACCTCATACCTGACCACCCTCTTGTCATTATCTTATCTTCATTGTCTCCAGATATGATAGTTTTAGACAAACACTCTTCACTGGAGATAAGACTAGCACTGAAAACTTTGGTAGAAGACACAGAACGACAACAGAAGATGATGCAGGGGCTTATACAGGCTAATCGTCAACTGAGGTAAGAATGTTGATGGAAGGAAGCTATTCATGAACACAAATCCCTGATTATTTATGCAAGTGGTATGTTTCCTAAAAAACTACCAAGCCAAAGTTTAACAATCCATTTTCTAAGTGTTGGAATTTTTTGGGCATGACTTAAGGCCATTTCCTTAAACGTTGTGCAAGGGGCAAAGGTGGGATTTGTGGATGAGGATGCTCTGCTAGTTTGCTCTGCTCTTAGAGCGTCTCCCTGTACTCAGAAGGTTTTGATCACTGAAATTGCCCTACACTTTTGCCACGGGTTGCTTTGCATGCCTTGTGCAGCATTTTTGGTGCCAGTGCCTCAAGAACTACAAATACTTCATTGTATTTAATAAAACATATAACAGAATACACTGTTTTGTTTTGCTTTGCTTTGCTTTGTTTAATTAGAGATGAGGTGCGCTTAGAACGTGGTCGAGCATCTCGGCAAGAACAACACGCCAACGACTTGGAAAAGACTGTGGAGAACATAAAATCCAAAATCTGTCAGCTGGAAGATGAGACTATAGCTAAGGTTTGCCAGCAGCAGAACCAAGTGAAAGAGCTTCAGAAAGATCAACATGTTTCACAGGTGACACTGATACGCTATTTAGGGATTGAAACAGCAGATGGTTTTGCATGGTTTCATGAAATACTTGGAAATATTTGCAGTGACCAAAATAATACAAGAGCTTGTGCCATCAAGTTGTTACTCTATATTTATGGTTTTAACAAACAACAAACTTTTCAACAGATAGGGTTTGAGTAACTGATAAAATCATCTCTCTCCATCCACCTCCTAAATACAAGTGGGAAGTAATAACTTAGCTGTCTTGGAGC